TCACACTACAGTCGCTTCATTTCACTTTAACGTCTAATTTTTTGTCTGATCTCGCAACTTGGTCATCCTTCTCTTTTTGAATTTATTAGGGTAAGAGTTCTTGTAATTTATGGAAAATTAGTACTTTTTTGTAATTGTAACTAATAAATTTCACAGAGTTCAAGTTAGTTTCCCAAATATAGATGTTCTTATAAAGATGATAAATACCAGTCGGCTTTAAAGGAATCTTGCAGGTAATATTAGAGCTTAGTAGTGTCGATTAAAATTTGTGGTAATTCTCTTGTGTTAAATATTTTGTAACTTTTTTACTGGCATGTCTTTCTTTGCCGTTTCGGCTCGTAAACCCCCCATTTCTTTCCGTTCTGACCAAGTCATCAGTATGATGACATAAGTTAGCCATTCCATGCTTCCAATTATCATCTTTGTTGAGTGTTCCAATTTATTTCTTTGATCTCACATTCTTCTAATAAGCAATACGTATAATGGTACCCCATTTTTACTAAGAGTAATTAGTTTTGAGTTCAGTTCAAGTGGATCTGCGGCTTTTACACACTCAAAAAATGGCGCAATTCTTTTTTTATAAATTTTGTATTGATTAGTAAGCAGTAAAGCAAGTGGTGAGCCAAGTATGAAGGCCCGTGCGATATTAGTATTAGCTTTTTTCTCAAGCCCATGGCCTTGAATGTTTAGAGAGTGAAATTTCTGAAGAGAAGCACATAGAATGTGTGATATCTTGTGTACGAATTTCGTGTTCAATTCATCGGTTAATCGGAGTAGATTTATACCCTCATAATTTTAGACGCGTTTTTCGCCTTTTTACATTGCAAGTGGACTCGCATACGTAGGTCTGGACGACGCATATGACTAGATCAAGTTGGTTATAGTCGTTAATACTGATTGCCTCATGTTATTTATGTAATATTAACTTTCATCCTCACACCATATAATTTTAGTAATCGCTTCAATCTACCCAACGCAAATATATTAGCAATGTTTTTCGACTCCGTTGTTCTTACTAGCTCAGTATTGCTCATTTTAGACATGTTCACTCGGAAAGTTACGTCGGTGCATAGTTCCAAGCAGCAGTTGTTGAAAGCCAGGCCTTACCAGGTTGAAATAGCTAACTTAGCCTTCCATGAGAGCATCATCGCTAAGTTGAACACTGGGCTTGGAAAAACATTTATCGCCGTTATGGTCATCAAGCACCATTTGCCCGAAACTTATCGCCCCCTCAACCAGGGGGGTAGACGAATCATTTTTATCACAAAAACTGGTATGGCTGTGCTGTATCCTCTGTTTTAACTCTATGGTGGTTTACAAATGCTATTAGTATCTCCTTCCTGTTTAGTCCACTTGGTTTACCAGCAGGCCTCTTTTTTGCGCCAGCAGCTGCCAGTGCATCATGATGAAATCGGAGTTTTTCACGGTCAAGTTGCTCCTGGAGTTTGGATCGATTCATGGGGAACTGTAAGCAATTACCCTAAATTCTTAAACAATGGGATTTGTAAATTTGCATTTCTAACATTCTTGGGTCTGCTACTGTTTCAAATTCTTGCACTTAATGGTAACTATAAACCTAATTCTATCGGAGTTGGCGTGCATCATGACTGTTTTATTATGCAAATAGGTTTTTCGCTCAGTTTTAATTTTACCTTACCAACAAGCTTTGGTCACTTGTAGGATATTTGGCAAGCACAACTAGAGAAGCACCGGGTGTTAGTAGCAACAGCTGGTGTGTTTCGTGATGTTTTCAATCACAGAAAAATCAACATGCGTAATATTTGTCTCGTAATCTTCGATGAGTGTCATCATGCTGATCCCGATTCCAAGTCCGACTTCGTCGATATCTGTCAACATCTTCACGATTTCCCGCCTGGCAAGTGGCTTCCTGATTACTCTCGAGGACCAAAGGTGAGGTTTCTGTTTCAGTGGAATTTTTGTGCAGAATCTAATGCAAACGGATTTTGCGTTTATGCATAACTCTAGCCTCTTTTACTAGGAGTCGATGTGGTGGCAATCAAGTCCTTTTATGTCAACCACAAGGGACTTCTTGCCTACTCATGAGGAGAATCCACAATTTATTTACTATTGTGCCTGTAATTTTTTAAATGTATGACAATATCACTGTTATGCGGTGCTGTCTGAATCCCGTAGGAAACTAGCGATCATGTTAAGTCTCGTACAGGGTAGAACTTGGGTTGGTTTGCAGTGCTCAAATGTGGTGAAAAAAGAGACGCAGTTATTAATTCATTTGTTTGTTACTATTATTGGATACCAGTAAAAATAAATAGATATCTTGTGTCAATTTTTGTTAATCACACGCTAGTGTACACTGCGAATCTGAACGGCTGATTTTTATACATTACAAGTTATTTTGCTTCCACCGCTTGTAACAAGAGCGCGCTTCAAGTTTCTTTTATTGTTTTAATCAGTCTTCCTTGCCATGAAGATACGTTTTTGTTGACTTTTTGTTTCTCGAGTAAAGTTCGATTTCAGCTTTATTTGGAAGTAGAGGATTATCTGTGTTTATTGTTGGTTGTTTTGTGGCTCATTGAATTGGTCACTAAGTTGGTGCACAGGATGCGAAATGGAGGCTCAGTGGCCTTTTTAATATATTTCTCCGCACTTGCTGTCTGATTTACTCTGTTGTGGGCCCCGACACGTGGCCTTTTACCACTCCGGCGCCGCTGACTTTAGTTTGGTCCTTTTACACTTCACTGATACCCGCGAAGACATGTAGGAAAACCAGAGACGGCTGATGTTAGTCGCGCCATCGCTCATGAAAACTCGTCTGACTAAATGGGGTTGTCGATCGTTGCAGTCTGGGTGAATACCTAAATGTGCAAGTGGCTGAACCGTCAGATTAGTGAAACGGGTAGCGTAGGCGTGGCACATGCACAGAGGTGTATGAGTAGGCGGTTTCGCATGGTCGGCTGAAACGTCGTGAAACTGAGGTCAGAATGGCGAAGAATGCGACAACCGGGTTAATGGACACGAATCAACGCAATGCACTACAACTCGTTCGCATTAGTGTGCCGCACCGCGTTTCGGTTCTTTTAAGCTGGCAGGTCCGGAGGCTCTTATCCTAGTTGTATTGCCCCATTCAGATTGATGTCAGTCTGAAGTATGGATAGTATAAAGCGTGCGATTATTGTTTATTAGGTAATTTACTGTCTTGTAGCTGAAATGTCTTAGTATTAAAGTTTGAACAATATCGTTAAGCGCTTTGTTATTCACAGAGATACTCTATTTTCCTAGCCATGATTTTAAAGCATTCTTGGTACATCTATTCACAAATGCAGTAAATATCGTGTGTAGGTTACCTGACTTCCGAAAAACAAATGTTCTGTATTTTTTTTCTGATTGCATGAAATGCTCTTTTTGAGAGACTTACAGACGGAAGACTTATTGGAAGGATTTTAAGAGCATACAGTTGATTCATAGTTCGAGTCAAGTACTCAATTGCCTTGCTCACCGTTGTCATTATCCTAAGCTAGTTTATTGCGCATCCTCCAGCGATTAGGTGAGACCCCATCTAGCCCCTAAAAGGTCTATTGGATGTCAAATCTACACAACATGTAGTTAAGAAAACAACTGAAACGACGCAAACGATCATTCCATCGAGCGTACTATGACTGCCATGGGTAATGTAGGGTATTTTTAGGTAAAGTCGCAATCATTGGATCCATTGTTGTTCCTAGGTACTCGGTTTAACGGCCTCGGTAGTGAACACAATGAAGCGCGGCGAAAACCTTGAGGTAAAGGTGAGACGCTTAGAGGAGTTGATGCGCGCACGCATTGTAACTACCGTAGATGATTCAATCAAGAGTGTGTCAGGCAATCGAGAACGCCAAATTGTAGCCTACAGTCGGGGCGGATCTCAGGCATATCACGGGGAGCTCTACTGGCCTGTTGCGCAAGTTCTGCAGGAGGGTGTGAAGGATATTAGTCTGTGAGTTGGCCGCAAGATTCTACATCTTTTCCTCAAATGAATAAATAATCTCAGAAAAGTGGTACAGTGTAATAAGTGGCTTCTTGTTTTATTCTTCATAGGTTTTTCATGCTCTTATTTGCAGAAATGAAACGGAAACAATTTTCACCAATCTCTGCTAACTTCCGTGTGGCAGACTGCTATTTAGGGCGACTGAATTAAAATCGAGTTCTTATGTCTGTTTCGTAACTAATCGCGCAATCGCGTTGTAGCATTTTTGTCTGCAAAGTGCCTTAGACCGAGCTTCGATTTTCCTTGGTTGTTATGTGGCTATCAACCTGTCGTTTTGGATATAAATTCTGCTGGCTTTTGTTTGATGACTCCGAAAGCTCTTATTTATTTCCACAACCTGGTTCCACGGTAGAATAAGGCTTCTGCTTTTGGTTAAAGAGGCTTGTAAAAGTGTGTTTTGCACTTCTAAATGTTTAAGATCTCATTTAATGAGGTTTTTTGACTTCACCAGTAATTTTGATTCATAGCGTTCATCTCTGATCATCGGTTCATTTCTGTCAATCTATGTAGGTCAATAATACAAAGACTTAATGTGCTGCAAATATTTTGGTTTTAAGTAACTCCCTTAAATAATAAAGTGGTTAGTTTTCGAGTAGGTATTTTGTCATTGCGCAAATCCCCAAACTTGCTTAACGCAACGGTGGACTCGCGTAGGGTGCAAAACTGAGACAATCATCCCATCACAAATGTGTACCCTTGCATTTTAAGGCTCACATGCAAAGGAGACGAAGCTTACATCGACTTGGAGGTTTTGCTGGACAAAAATAAGCAGGTTCGCAAGGAGGCGTTTCTCAATGTCATGGAGCTGCAGGATTTCAACCAGAAGAAGCTTGGACGCGTTCTCAAACTGTGCCTTAGGGTGATGGAAGAGTTCGGCCCCTGGTGTGCCAATCATGTAGGTTGATTAATTGTCTGTGTATTGTTTGAGGGAGTGTTTATGAGGCCTCACCTTTGCACCTCGTTGGGGGGAGGAAGGAAGGCTCACTCTGAATGCAGCTGGTTATTGTTCTTTTATGTAAACTGATAATTTACATGGTCTTTTTAGACAGCTTCTCGCCATATCTGTACTTTCCTAAATTCTTCGGACGTTTTATGTGTCCGCCTATGCACAACTTTGGTGTTTTGGTAAAAATTAAATTATGCTGATTTATAACCAAAAGAACCTCTTCTCATTCATCAGGGTCACCTTTATGGTCTTTAGTAAAATTGCTTAATTAATTGGGAATGTGGTTTATTAATTGCCCTAAGGGGTGTTGTGTAATGCCAGCCCGCACCAAGTAGTCAACTTTCTCGGAGTTCACTGTCGTTTGGGTAACTGCAAGTGCTCCGCTGAAGGGTCCACGAGGAACCAGATAGGAGGTGACTTACAATATCTGGTTGTCACACAAACTTTCGAATTCTTACCGTTTGTACATGTGCGCACCTTTTGTTTAAGCGTTTTGTTAACTTTAGGCTGCGAACGCTAGTATTAGTGTTGTGCATTTGTCAGTTTGCTTCATCAGTATGTACGAGTGTGTTTTTCTGGGTATTTGTTCAACCGGTTGTTACGCACTCTAATTACTCCGTTTGCGTATAGACGACACACACACACTTCCACAGAATTTTTGATTCATCTCAAGTAAAATAGCTCACAAAATTTGTTGTGAAACGTGAACTGGCGGACCATTACATGGGTGTTTGTGTTTGTTTTGACATTAGGGAAGCTTGTTATTCTGTTATCTCTGCGTTCCACATTGTTGCACACATTACTGCCCCATCCAGGCATCTTTTCAGGGCTGTAGATCTAGTATTCACGGGCCCACCCGAATGCACTGGTCCCCAGGGTGTGTTCCCCCCTAATCTTGCGTCATCGAAATTCGTGGATTTAATTGATATCTTTCATGAAGACACTGAATCATGTTTAGTGTATACTCTAGTTGCTTTCAACACAACTCCATTTTTCATTAGGCCTGCGAACAGATTGAAAAGACGCTATGGGACCTTCTTAAATTGACAACCTTCCCTTATCACTCAAGTAATGACTATATGCGCTTAATCAGAAAATGTTTGGATGTTCTCACGAAGGCTCGTAACCTCTACCAGCAACTTCGAGAGCAAAAAATCGCTTCCCTGCCTCGACCGTCAAGTCAACCCACCGACCCGGCATGGGGTGATTGGATTTTGGGACACTATCCAATGTCTTTGAAGACTATCCAAATCTTGCGCACACTTGTGCACTTAAAGGTAGTCTATGTTAGAATCGAATCGTGTTCCTGCCAAGTTTTTACTTATGTTTCCAGGTATTGTTTTGTGTGGTTTTAACTCTGAGAGGGTGCTTGGTTTACTGTTACTGGGTTGTATTTCTAGCCATGAAGCCTTCTTGATTAAAGCCTTTGCTGGACCATTCGAGCTCTTTGACCTCGGCCAATCATCTCGTAATTAATTGCATTTTTTTTCTATGTTCAAGTATTTAAATTAATTAGCCTATGAATCTCCATTCAAGTTCATAGTCACAGTATTGATATGTCTAAAAGCGGCCTTGTGCTCTTGTCTATTTTTCTTCAATTTGACATTTCACTAACTCCAGTGTCTGCAATGCTCTTGCTAAACCGTTTTTAATAATCGCTTATTTGAAGATGAACTAGTTTCGTTGTGTCATTAAAAGTCCCCCTTTGTACATACCCGGTGCAAAATTGGCAATCTAGAGTCCGTTTATCTGACTGTCAGTTTGGGTCTCAACTATCAGTTTCATGAGGAGAATTTATTCTATCGAAAATGCAATTTTACTGCCTTAATGATTTAGAAACTGTACGAAAATAAAGGTGGCCTCTCAGCCCTACTGTTGGTCCAAGAGAGGATAGCGTCTCTGGCGCTTTCCCGACTTATCTGTGGGGTTTCGGAAATGGCCCCTCTCTATGCTGGCCTCAAGGCTTCCTACTGCGTAAGCGCCAACCCTACGCGAAATTTGGTACGTCCTGTTCCCATGCCTCTTTTTCTACCTAAAAGTGTTGGAGATGGGGATCCTTGTCAGGGATTAAGATGTACCTCTGTTCAATCATTTCACACAACATCAGCTACCTCAATTTTTTAGTAGCAGCTAGCATTAATTTGGACGTGTAAATCAATTGTAGCACATTTCACTAATCTACTTAGATTAGTGGCCTTTCCCCTATTGAACACCATGGATTTCGTTAATCCAAGATTCCCGCGGTTCTTAAAGTGGCTGTCCCTAAATGTGTTTGCGTTCATTTGGTGCCTTTAATATGAAGTTCCGTCTCTTTAAAGTTATCGCAAGCATGTAGTCCTTTGAGGCTCCACTTCGTATGCAATCTATTTTTCCGAGGCATTCTCAACTATGAATTGTGCTGTCCGAATACAAAATTTCGTTTTTTTGTACGGTGCCAACCTACCATCTCTTCTGTGCAACTTATGGAAGGTAAATTTGCACATTTGAAAGATCGCTCCAACGCTGTACAGGATTGACTACGGCTGATTTAGTAAATGGTGCCTTCCTCTTTTTGATAAGATGGCTCTTTTTGCCTAAAAATGTGTTATCTGTCAAAACCAAATCCAAGTATCGATTGATATTCCCTGTTTTTCATACTAGACAAACCCCGGTGAACCAAAAAGCCCCATGGTGATGTTTGTATGTTTAGAAAATGAATCTGCCCAACTATCCGTTGTCGCCTGGTTCACGGCATTGTTTCTTTGATACTAAAACAATGCAAGTGAGCTGAGGATAAGAGTTTGCACACACGTCAGTCTGTGATTTTGGCAAACTACCTTAAGTTCGAAAGTTATTTGTAAGGTTACCCTCAGTGGTAGTTTGTGCGTCCATTCACAGGCCTCGATGTCAACGGCAGAGCAGTTGAATGTGTTGGATGGTTTCCAGAAGGGCTTGTTCAACATATTGGTGGCCACAACTGTCGTGGAGGAGGGACTGGACGTTCGCTCATGCAATGCTGTCATCAAGGCAGATGCCTTGACCAATTACCGATCGTTCATTCAGTCACAAGTGAGTATTGGTGGGTTCATGAGACAGGTCGTTCCTACTTGTAGCGCCACTGAAAGAGGCATTTTGTGTATATTTCATTATTTTTGTCAATTCTGATTGCTAGAATTTTGCTTGTTTTCATTCTAAAACATTGACCGAGTAATACCGTAGGTTCAACTGCGAAGGCTATCAAATGCCATAGTCATTATATCAAAAACTCCTGTCTATGTTTCGCACTCGAGTCTGTCTCTGAAAAGTTAGGGTTTGTAACCATTTTTGGATGCATTTGAAGCAAATAGGGTACCTGGAAGAAAGGGACCAAGGGCAAACGTCCAAACTAATGTTTGACTAAAATCGCGCAGAAAATTCGTATATAATCTTGTAACGTTTTGGTTTAGAAGGAATTCCTGTCAGATTTTGGCGGATTGTTAAATAATTTACATTTGATTTTTTAACATGCAGGGTTTCTTCCATTAGCAGTTTATGAAAACTATAATTTAACCCAGTCGCAGCTGCTTTTGTACGGTCCATTGTCGAAATCGTGCGAGTTGATTGGTGAATAATGGTTGCCACTGAATCTAGCCTAGTGGTAGAAGTGCTTTCACCAACACACACCATCGTCGAAAAACTTCGGCCCCTGACCCTCTCATGCTTACGGGGACATATTAACCAAACAGCTCTGACTTACCTTACCGAAAACGACTGACGGCAAGCCAGGTACTATGGGAACCTAGTCGAAAAGTGTTCCGGCTGTGAGCGAGTAGTTGAACAGAAGGAGGACTCTAAGTAATGAAACTTATCCGAAGAGGCCAGTTTGACACTTCTCTTCATTTGTCAAATTAGTTTACTTGGGCTTTTAACTGCTTTGGAAGGCAGTTGGCAAAACTTTGGAGTGCGTCTCTTCAGTAGACGTCTAGGACCTTACTGACTATCATATTGTGAATACGCTGACACGTGAGCCGTCGCCTTTTTCTAGAATTCGGGTATTTGTTAAAGTCATTGACTGTGTATGACAAATTGCGTATCGTTGCAAGTGCTTGGTTAGTTGTGGAAGCTTTTGGTTTCTACGTTTGCGCCTCTGGACCACTGTCGCAGCACATTTCACTTACCTCGTGTGTCTTTTTTAGGGGAGGGCTCGAGCGGCTGAATCGAAGTTCATCGTGCTAACCGATGACAAACACAAGTGTCAGTCGGATATTTCTAATTTCCTTAGCGTAGAAATGGTACTTTTGTAGTATTTTTGATTGATTGTTGTTTCTATTGATTCAGTGCATTTTCTAACATGAAATTATTTCTGCTAACACAATTACTATAGAAGCATTCATGGAAATTGTGTTCTGGCTTGATATTTTACACCATTTTATTAGGTTCGAATGATTGTGCTAATCTCAGCATGCATAGGTGACCAGTTTCCGTCTATGGTAACCCACCCAAGCTTGTAGCAGTACCAAAGAATTTTCCTAGCGCACAATTGCTTAGATGTGGTGAAAACCTATAGCACCTGGGTTGTGTGAGTTAATGTCAGGTAACGAGTTTACACCAGATGTTGGTATTCGTGGTTGTGTTACATATTGTTAATATTATCTGAACAAAGAAAACATTTTTCCACTTTTCCTTGAAGGCCATGGAAGAATCCTTGGTGAGCCGTCGTGTTGAAGTTGAGAGTGATGACGACGACAATGCGCAATATTTGGATGTCAATGAAATCAGAAAGCTTTCCTTTCTGCCTTTCGGGATAGATGGGCCGCGAATTACACCAAGCAGTGCTCCATCTGTTCTCATGAGGTTCGTCTGTCCTGTTGTCGATGCAAACATTCTTCCAGCACGATTGTTTCAGTGGGTATTTCTGAGAGCCATACAGGATACCAAGCAGTGGCTTGTTACAGCAAATAGGCCAGATTCAGAGACAAATATCTGCATCCTTATTGGTTTCTGTCCTTTAGGCTTTCCAGTAGCCTGGGTGTTACGTAATTCAAGTTGTCATAATTTAACCCAACCACCATATCTATGTGTACACTGTCGCGGTATAATGTATGCGTCGTCTCAGCCAGTGAGTACTTCAAATGGTGTTAGAAATCGTATTGAAATCAATCCGAGGGCTCGTTGATGAAATCTCACGGATTGATGCTGCAGTTCGGTCAGAAATTCACTAATGAACCGGCAGTTCTTTTTAGCTAAGCTGTCTTACCGCAGAATTCAATCTCCAACATAAGATGCTAATTATTAAAAGAGAAGTCTATTTGATTTGTTAGAAAAATGTGAGTCAAATCCACTTGTTCAATTGCCAAATTCGTGTGTTCATGCTCCGCTAGTTTACCTCTACGTTTGATTGCTAATTTAAAAAATCTTGACTCAATTTACCCAGACCCAAGGCCTTAGTGATTAGAAATATCTCCGTTCCTGTCTGTCGCTTGCCACGGATTACGTTTGTGATGTCCTGAGTAATTACGAATGTTCGGGGTTGAAAATTTAATATTTTTAGGCTTTGTCTAAAGAAGAGTATTGCTTTTGCCTCGTGAAGACGGCTGATCACTTGAATTAGCGCAAATAATCATTGCCATTTTACAAAAAAATAATTTCACCTACACTGAGCTCCGGGGCTATTTTGAGAATGTTGCATGACCTTGACTTTAGGTGTGCGATCTGTGCATGGGCTGGTGCTTTTGAGTGACGCGTTGCAGGTTCTGCTCAGACGCCGCGTAAATTCTGCCAGTGCATTAAAAGTTATGCACACCGAAGTCTTTGTGTATTATTCAATTAGCAAAATTTGCAAATTCGATTATTTTCAAAAACACTCTTTAGATACATCGCCTCGTTGAAGACGGATACGTCATATCCTCTTAAAATTTTGTACTCATCCAAAAAACATTTCGGTGGGTATCAAACCGAGATGCTGATGCCACCTCCTTCGCCGCTTCAAGAGATCATTAAGGTAAATGACTTCAATCTTTCCCGCTAAAATTGACGTCATTTGCTTGTAGGCATTATCCCAGCCCTAAGAGAGGACCTGGAATAATTTTAATTATCTAGTTGAGGTTCTTTTTATGTGACTTAGTTCTGACTGTTTTATTCCCATGAAGAGTTTTTCTAGAAATTTTTTCCTGCTCCTATTGACTGTAACTGAACAAATCGTTTTCCATTAAATGTGTATTGCTTCGAGTAGCGCTGCTGCTGGTTATAGCCGATTCTAACAAAATGCATTATCTGAAAGGCACCTTGGTCACGCTGTCTCCGGCCCTCCTTAGACCACCATCGAGGTACACGATGGCTCGCTTCATTTTCACGTTCTGCACGCTAACAAAAACTTCCTCGTCTTTTTCTTTGTTGTTTTCAGGGTAGCAAACTTGTAGAAGTTTATTACATGCACGACTATCTTGAACCATCCTTCCTACCAATACATCACTCTAATGGTACTTTAAATTTTGGCATTCAAGTCTTCACTAAACTTTCTGCCGTTGATTTCGTTGGTTCTTGAATTTGAGTTGCCAATTACACGACTTCATTGGCATGTCAGAACTTGAGTCTTGTTGGCTCAAGTTCTGACAAGGCGGTAGCTCAGCTCAGATTGCTTCAGTAGAATAGACATCTGAAACTCCGAGACACGCCGATCTGCTAAATGCTCCATCACAAATGTCTAATTGGCTAGCACCGATGTGTTTAACCCCCTGGGGCATCGGCCAAACTGACAGCACATGCAAACAATGTGGGTGAACGTGTTGACGCTTGTCGTGTTTTTTGAAGGACTTGGTTGCAATTTAATTGTGCATGCGGGCTGGACAAGCACGCAACAGGAGCTTTTGACTTGTAGGACCGAACGATAGAATCTTCACAATAGTATTCTTTATAAATATTGTCTTGCCGTGATGCAGTGAAGACGGGTTACGGCGCTTGAGACGTCAAGGGCGACTTGTTAGTAGACGAAAGGCACTTGCTTTGTTGTTTTTTTTATTTTAAGAAAGTGTTTGACAGAAGCGTTTTGCTGGCTTTTGAGCACCCACTGCTTTGTGTTATTCCCCTCCTCCGTTTTATTCATTCTCTAGGGTCCCGTGGCCTCAAACAGCTCCTTGGCAAAGCAGCTGGCAAGAATTGAGGCCTGCAAGAAACTGTACGATGCGGGTAATTTTCGTTTACTCAAATTCTAGTTTTGTTTATGTAATCCTATACGAAGCGACTCTTTAATGTGCATTGGCATTTTGGCGCAGCCTTCATTGACTCTAGAGTGCTGCTTCAGTTAAAAGGACAAGTAGTTGAATTAGGGACTTATTACTGTCGCTGAATGGCTTTCAATTAATGGTTTAACGCGAGCAGGCTATTTTGATTTCCGATCTTGAGTGCACAAGGCAGACGATAATGAGTGAATAACGCACCCGGTATAGTACCTATTGCCAGCGTCTATCGTGTCGACTCTTGAATTCGTACGGTGATTTCTACTACTTTGGTTAGAAGATCGGAAATAGGGTAATCAGTGCATGGATTCGTATTTTGTATGTTGGGCGCTGGCGTGAAAGGTAGAAATGCGAGTGGGATTTGATTAGATGGGGGGGGAGGCAGTACCGTTATTCAGCTAACAACTATTACCCTATTGCAAACGTTATACTAAACCAATTTCAGCGGACTCGAAAGTCGCAAAAGTCTTTTATTTTCAGTTTCTACCATATTTTACTCGCCACAATTTCACGCACAATAGGGAGTTTCGCAAATGTAGTGGTTTCAGGTGTTGTCAGGTTAAGTCTGTTGGATTCCTAATGCAATCGAGTAGAAGCTAACCAATGGATGGCCGGGGAACCAAAAGAACCAACCTTCTAGTGCTGTTTAGGCTCACTGGCCACGTTTTTGCAACTCAGACAGAAATAAACCGATGAATATTTTTCCCTCAAAAAATGGGAATATTACATTTGATAGTTGAATTTCTTTCAGATTGATTCGATAAAAAGATGGGATCATTTTCCGACCAGTACCAGTGTATCTTGGACTTAACATTTTTTTCCGATTTAACACGAAAAATTCTAGCTTGAAGGAAAACAGTGGACTAAGTTGCACTATTGTGAAAATTATGGATCTGGACGTTGGATTCGCCCATCATGTTGACCTGTTCCGATTACTTTTAGATAATGACGAAACAGTTCTATGTGTGGGATATATATCAATTTTTAATTGGATGATTATGGATTGAGACATTGAACATTGGTCACAATCGTCCTGGTGCTTCGACCTGCGCCGAGTAATTCACGTTTGTAAATTGTAAAGAAAATCACAACCAATGTTATGGCCGGGAGTGGGGAGGAAAATTATGCTGCATATATAACGGGTGGAGGCAATTTTGAGACTAAATTTTTTCATTGATTCAGAGGTATTTGCTAAGGCACGCAAACTGTGTCCACACTTCAAATAGGCAACTGTGGAAGAGCTTTTAACTACTGCAATTCTCGACTCATGCGTCAGCTACACAATGAAAGTGCTTTCTATTAAATCCGAGATGCGTAATTTAAGCTTGATTTCGTAAATTTTCTAGGCCTTTTGGACGATGATCTGCTGCCATACAACTTCCGCAGGTTGATAGAAGTATCTAAGCGAAACGAAATTACAGACCAAAGTGATAGTATGGCTGAAATACTATCTAAAATGCACCGCATTCGGATACACCAGCCGACGTCTGGTGAAGGTGCCGTGGAAAGACATGACAATCCGCCGAACGTGATGTCACAGGCCCTTCTGTTGTTGACTCCTATTGAGGGTGATATTTTCACCAATGATGGTGTTCTGAGTGATTCGAGTGTTTCAGAATATTCCTCCATCGAGTACACAAACGACCACGATCTGCCTCATGGAATCGTCTTAACTACCAGCACTGATGAGGAGGATGAGAATGGGGTGGAGGAAGAGAATGTCGACGACGTGGATATGCAAGATAATACGAAAACTTCCAGTGCAATGTACACACCGATGACTAAGCAGGTGCCAATGCTTACGATGAAGTTGGTGTTTCTTATTGCCTAGTTAATTACGCACAGCGTGTATTTTCTTTGGTTATTTATACTTACTCTTTAGTATGATTGAACATGTCCCTCTCATCACCTCAATTAGGTTCAAATTATCATAATGTAACAAACTGTTGTGTTTACTTCATGTTTGTAGGCTTCGTGCCAGCAGCCGGTGTGGCCATACTTTCAGTTGGCAATGCCACAGACCCCAGAAACTGTGCCTTCGTCAGCTAGGGCTAAGACGTGTGCAGCAGGCCTCGCAGGTCAATCAGTCCGCGAAGAAGTTTCCTCCCAACAAAAAAAATCCGTAAAATCGTCGCGAACATCAAGTAAAGCGAGGTTTTATGAAATTCACGTGAGTTAATTGTCTGTTTCCCTTTCCTAATTTTGCTAGTACATTTTAGAAATTCAGCGCATGAATGTGTGAATTTACTTCTAAGCTAAGAGTGGACGTTCACATAAGGCTACGTTTTACAACTCATTAAAGTCGTACGAGCATTGTTGTTAATTAGCGGCGACTATTGAAGCGTATTGTTTCGCTCCGATCCTACATTCAGCCCAAGTATTTGATGCCCTTTGATAAGCATTGAAATGATCGTTCGACATGACGTCATCGTCTACTTTCATCTCCAGTCCCGTTCGCATGCGTGTATATACTGGTGATGTGTTTTACAGCGTCTCCATTCACTGTCGGCGCCTTACCAGAGGCCAATTGCCGCCAACCAGCCTGTCTACGTATACACCTGGCAGCTACCCTCACCCGCAGAAGTCGCCCACCTTACCAGAGTGGATCCCGAGTGCTTCAAATACGCTAATCAGACCATTGGCCTAGTCTTTTCTAAGCCCATCTCAAAGGTATGCTTCTGGTAGATCGAAATGAAATCTCGCCACTACAAATTAGGGGTCCTATTCTGCTTCGAGACTCACAATCATTCTTTGATTCACAGCTCTTAAGCGCCTTCTGTAATTTAGTTCTTCCTCTAACTGTAGTAGATATGGCCGAATAGTAAGGCAAAAAGTAAGCTACTGAGTTTACGGGTTTCATAACAGTTCATGGACATTCACCGCTGCAATTGTTGTTACATCGTAGATGAAAAAAAGTGGCAGCTCACATTTAGATGGGTATTTCGACTGGTGTAATCTTAGCACGCATTGCAATATTGAATTAGGAGGTTGGATTTAGATTTTTCGATGATCTTCCCTGCTATTTGACTGCTTTCTGGGTCAATTTGTGCTGGTACTCTGGCAATAACATAAAATCAGCTCACATCAACATTAATCGAAGTGTTTTACTTCTTCCCTCACTTGATTCCTCCAAGCCTGTTACGGACTGTAACTGTCTAGCGGTTAGTTAACTGATCTAGTCTTGGTGGGAATAGCTTCAAATTCCATAAGCTGTGTTTTGAGATATTGGTGTGTGCTTACCTGTGCTGTCTCGGGTATTCATATCGTGATCGTGGCTCTCTTCGTGTCACCGATTAATTGTTGTAAGTGTGTCGCACTTGCCCATCCTCTCTGCTTTTTAAGCTCGACTTCGTGTGCCGTTTTCCGCTCTATCTGCAATCTGGAATGGTGCGTATTGAGCTGCGTAAGGCGTCCGTGGTCACATTCACAGAGGAGCAGCTATCACTGATACAGCGAACCCACGAAATTCTCTCACAGCTCTCTGTGGATATATCCAGGCCTGAAAACTTTGACCTCCGTTTCGAAAATGGTGGTCTTTCGTTCTACTCGGCACCAAAGTTAATGGAGCCGTCATCTGTGCCGAAATCTAATGCCGTTGCCATTGACCCCTTCTCAGAAATCGCGATCGATCCCGAGGAGGCACACATTTGTGCAATGTTCCTTATCGTCAGGCTTCCAAGTAAGCTTGCACTTTTGTAGGCTACTCGTTTTGCCTACGACTTGGTTATTGCGCGTGGAAGTTTTACAAGGCCTTACTCAACCCTGAAAATCGAACTATCCCTCACTTGCCTTCCCTGGTCATCGAGAAATGACGAAATATTTTTCTGGTCGATTTAATATACTTAACGGCCCAACATTCTTGCTTGAAATCATAGACTTATGCACCTAACCAGTTGAGCTGTCTAAGCCAAACATTGTAAATCGAAGTCCGAAAAGCAGAAGGGTATGTTTACGGTGTGCTACTGGCGATGCCGGAGACAGCGGTTTACCTAGTTTTGTCAGTGTCACACTGTGGATACACTGTCGTGTCTGTCCAATGGGGATGTCGACTGAAGCTGCGTGTTCTCGTAGTAGTATAAAGGGCTGAATGCGTGGGTGAGTGAATCGAGTTACAGGGGGGATATGCGAACCGATGGTGCTAAGATGTTCCATTACAATTTCTGGGAATTTGTGTGTTAGATAGTCCTCCGGAGAAAGATCGCGAATTTAATTCACATGTTACTTACATGTGACCCACGAAGAGCCCAATCACTAACGACCTTCATACTTATTCCGTTCTTCGTGCATATAAGAGTGTTTATTTCTACCAATGTAGACGTTTTAATCCCCCTCTCTGTTAAGACCTATTTTCTCAATGAAAGGTTCTGTTTGTGGTGAAATGGAGATATATTCGAAATATGATCATGGGGCTTATTTTGATGTGAACTCCCCTAGGTGGAATTTTTGTGCGTTACTTTTCATCATTTCATGTAAAATTGTTCTGCAACTGTGCCCTTTTCTTCTCTTCACAATTTATTCATTAATCGCGGCAACTACTTTACTTGGAAATGGATGTTCGTGTGCCTGAAGTGGTTAAATGCACAAATGTGCTTCAGCAAATGTTATTTAAATTACCTTTTTAATGCTTTATCATGGATGTTAGTTTAGGCATTTCTGAACCGCAATATGTAGGGAAATTAGATGTAGGCGATTTGCATTGTTTCGATTCTTGACAGCCGTTTTACTACAGAAAACACGACACAGTAGCTTAGCGGACCAGTGTCAAGTTAAGGTTGTTCCTTTGATTCTTCAAGCCACAGGGCGTCAGTTGGATAATTCAAACCATGTCACTTGCAATTGGCACGACTGGAACCTGTTTTGAGTTGGATCAGCGGATTTAATTTTCTTGCACAATGTGCTGTCTTCTTTAAAACAAACCTGGCGTTTGCGATTCGTTGAAGAAAACTAAGCGAGTTGGGGTTTCTGCACGTTTATAATCGTTTTGCTTCCCCCTACGACCTATTTAATTTAATTGGTGTTATTTGAATCGGCAGTATCTTCATGCTCCGAGAAATTTAGCCTGGTGCTGTGGTATTGACTTTATTCGTTAATATAACAACTTGTATTAACTGTAGTCGGATTTAAAAGCAACATTCCACCTGATTCTGATGTTGCTTTTCACATAAGACCGTGGATGCATATTATTGCATTTGCGTCAGAATATTCTCATTTACAAGCGATTTCAGTGTTGAGGTCTTACCATTACTTAGGTGGTAGTTTTGACGAGGAGGCCTCGCGAGCTCTGGTTAGTTGGTCTGACGAAAAGGATCACTACTTAGGGGGCGGCGTTAAAGTTCCGCCTCAAGCCGAAATCCCCCGCCCCATCATCCAATCTGGCATCTGTTCCCGTTTCGGTCTTCAGCTGTCCGCCCTGCCACCAAATGATTGGCCTGGTGTACTCGTTCGTCCAATTTGTCTACCTCAATACGATCCAGGTAGTTATGCCGTGAACGGGGTGAACCCAAACGGTCTACGAGGCTTAAGTTTAATCAACCAACAGATGGCGAGTTGTCTGCCGGAGAACATCCAATCAGGTGCCTCATTCCTCGCCTACTTCGATTTTAAGTACCATTCGGTGTTGGAAACAACCTGTCAATGCAAGGGCTTTGATCCAGATGCCCCGCTTGCGTCTGTAACCAGGATTTCAAGGCACTTAAACGCCTCCAATGTATGTTTAATTGTATTTTCTGAATTTTCGTGTTTAATAAGAAATTTTAATAAGCTTGTGCTTAGTTTTATTGCATCATGGGCTCTAAATGAAAAAAAAACTAAAAATTGAATGCTGAACCCAGTCAACATGCACCCAGCAGGTCAGCATGAAATTTGTCGGAAATAAATAGAAAGGCTTACGCTCGGAGGCTGAGTTTTATTGAACGAAACGGTCGAGAAAAAGACAAACGCAAGTGTCGAATTCGCACCAAATGCATGCCTAGCATGGGATTGAATTCGTGGCATTTCCCAAGTCCGATTCCTTAAAACACTTGACACGCGAATTCATTCCAGCTTTCAGAACATGTCTGCAGTCCCGAGGAGAATTCGAACCTCGTAAGCACCTAGGCTTTGTGCTGCAGAAAATTTAATGTCAATTGTTTTAATCATCGCAAAATACAAAAAATGCGTATTTGAATTTTTCGTCCAATTTCTGAGTAGATTTTTGGCTATTGTTTGAAGTATTGCAAAATTACGATGCAATATGCTACATCACACATAGCTGAAGACACGAATGTTGTATTGATAGCAATTGAAGTTTGGGCTTGTTTTCCATAAGCTAGGAAAATTTCTCTGGCTTGCTGTGCACAAAATGCCTGAGGTTTGAACGACACGCATTGTGTATTGCGTCTCTCGCCTCACGGACCTATCATTTTGACCAATTTCTGTAGCCGACAAAGAAGCTTTGGTTAGCTCCTCTGTTTCTTAATCTCAGCTGTTCGAATGACAGACGCCTGACTTAGATTGTTAATTCTTGCTATTGAGGTAACACCATGCTTCTGATGTTCACAGTCATTGACGTGGGGAAATGAAGCGCACTACTTTGTTCAATTTTTCATGAGTTGTTTATCCCATGATTTGGGGATTTTTGAAGCCTGGCTTTGCCTAAGGGTCATGAAACCGTAGGTGATTTTACTAGACGATTGGTTCATTTGATACCACGTTGTTGGTATGTGGGTGGGAGGCAGAATCCTTTGAGCTGAGAGTCCTTTTCACCTTCTGTTAGTCTTTCCTTAGCACACGCTGGTTTTGGTGGTTCAGTCTGGGTGAACCTTTAAAAGTTCAATTGGTCGAATGAAACGGGTGGCGTGTGGGGGTGTGTGAGCAGGCGGTCAGAGTGGCTAAGAATGCGACAACCGGGTTAGTAGACGAGAATCAGCACGATTCGCTAACGAATTTTGAACTATTCGAATTATGTTTTTACGACAAAGGCAATTTTGTTCCCAGGTAGCTGCTGGATTCGCAGCCGTTGAAAAGGAAGTTTCTAAAGAAGATGTCATGCCAGATCTGTGCGTTATTCACCCACTGAACACGTGGCTGTGGCTAACACTCTGCCTCATTCCCAACGTACTGCACCAAATATTTCGTTGTCTCTCAACTTGTGAGCTACGAAACCTGTTATGTGAGCGGCTCTACTGTGAATCTTCATGCGCGAACCCGTCTGAACCCCAATTTGGTCTTCCGGACGGGGGTTTTCTGATGCCTGATCGTGACTCCGTTTCCCTGTCATCGATCCCTGCATTGCGTAAATTCTTAATCGAGGAACAGGAAGCCTCTTCGAGTGTGCCACATCATCCAGTGTCGGAGGTTCGTTTCGTTGCCCATTTTTCTTCTAGGTTTCATTTGTTGACAATTGATTTGATTAATTCTACCCCAAAAGTCCATGCTAATTTGTCCGACATTGACCGCTTTCTAGTCACCCTGCATTAACCAAACTGCCTTTTCCTGAATGCACTTCTGACCTCACACGGAAGACTAAACAATGATCAGAAGTGTTAGGTACTAGATTGTGTTATGAAAGGCAGATTAAGGAGTGTAATTTATCTCATTCAGAGTGGCATGATCAGTGGAATAATGCAGATTGTTTTTCCTCGCAGACGGTTCAGGTGAGTATCGTTAGGAAGTTTACAGTTCTAGAGGATGTAATTAACCACTGTTGCCCGCCGTTCTAGTGTTTGATCGGTTACTCATCAGTTCTTTTCGTCTGGGTCTTCTATTTAGTTTAATGCAATGTCTTTGGTGCCGCCAGCTTCCTGCCTTTACGAGGCAGTCACGGCGGTGGGTGCGAAAGAGGCGGTGAATTTAGAGCGCCTGGAACTACTTGGCGATTCCTTACTGAAATTCGCCTCCAGTCTCCGCGTCTATGCCACCTCACCGCCGAACACTGACGAAGGTCAGCTCACATTTGCTCGTTCCGCGTTCATTTCCAACACCAATCTTCATCGGCTCTCCATTGATCTGGGTCTTCATCACTACTTCAGATCTTCTGATTTTAAATCAAAAACGGATTACCTCCCTCCTTACTACTTCCTCTTTGACAAAGTACGCCCAATTATATTCCCATTTTTATTTGTAGGACGTTTTACAAATGCCAGTTGTTAAATTCAGATTCTATTAACGTGTGCCTAAGTTAAAAGCTGCTCTGTATTCTAAGGGAGCGCACACATACCCCTGTCCATTCACTCGTGTTTGTTTTGTTGAAAATTTTTCTGGGTTAAATTGTGTTCTCACATGAGGATCTGAATCTCCAGCAATTGAGCTGTCATCCTAGAGGCATGTGCTTTGGCGAAGCTAAACACCGAATCTCGTGTGGAATTGCTTAAATAGCATAAAAGGCGTTGTTCTTCGAATATTTTAATTTCCCTTACTCGTTGCAGAGAGGCATAAATCAAATTTTGCGAATCATTCTACCAGTAGTCCGATCTAATTTCTGTCCTTTCCTGACACCGTGATTGGTGTGTCTTCTGTTTGAATAGTGTCCAACGCAGATTCGTGTTTAAGGGTGATGCTGCGTTTGGGTAAATGCATGCTCGTCAGCTATTCAATGTCTGGATATATCTGGTGCCACTGCTTGTCGCGTTCAACGCCACGCAGATGGCCTGAAAATACGTTGGGAGATGGCGTAGGGAAAAAAACTACTTTTCGTCGAAATGCTTTTAACCATTGTCAATTATGTTAATTAGTCAAATCTGTTTTTTTTTCTAGACAAAAGCCAGTACAACTCACGACAGCCGCTTATTCGAAAGAGTGTACGACAAATCGATTGCCGATTCTATTGAGGCTCTGCTAGGCGTCTTTCTACTTAACCTCGAGCCCTCCTGCTGTGCCCGCCTGCTTTATTTCCTCAAAGTCTCGAATCAAGAACTTCCTATGGCGACTCAGGCCACTTCCCCGCTGGAAGTTGCCTCTATTTCGGCAGATTATTGGCGCCGTCACCAGTCGTGGGTGCCAATGCTTCTCAAGCCTGAGCATCATGCCATCGATCCTGAGCTCACTTCCAAGGATGCTGTTGTGCTTGCCAGACGCAGTGCAGAAGTTGAACGGCTAATTATAGATAGCCTTCCTCGCGAACAAACGTCCACAGGAAAGTCGTTGGACTCCACAAAACCGGTGTATCCGAATCATGCTCAGGCCTTGGAAAATAAGCAAATGCAGCTCGAGAGCCTTGAGGAAATTCTGGGTTACAAATTTAGGAAAATTGGGATTCTGATACAAGCTACAACACATCCTTCATCACTCCTGGCTTACCATTGGGGCTGCTACCAAAGGTATTAATGCTTTCTTTTTCAAATAGGGGTAATTTGAGGGTCGCTAATTCTTTATGATTCCCGACGTCTAAAGACGAACTCATTTCGTTACTTTAGGGTTATTAAATAGTTGTACTAATCAACCTGTAAGTCGGGACGTGGTGTGTTCTGGATGCTTATCTGTGTCATTGCGGTAGATTGATAGTAGAATATTTACCGATGCTGCCACAGTGTGGACCGAAAGGAAGCAAAAAGTATGCATGTAGAAATGAATGCTTACTCATGAATGGATAGGGTAAATAGTCACGTCATGATGACTAAATCAGACTTTATTTATATCATTCTATTGCGGATATTTCGTATTTATCAGGACGCTTCGCCGAATGCAGTTGCTGAAAGACCGATTAGTAAACGGGTCATTGTAATGTTGCTTGCGATGATGTGCTCTAGCCCAGCATAAGACCACTGAAACCCGTGAAAAATGTGTAAGCAGCGCAATTGACGCTGTTGGGAAAATTGCACCATGGGTCCGAGGAATGAGCGCATTTGATTGGCTGTACCGATTTTCAACTCAAAGTTCAGATTTTTGGCCTATTTTTGCACACTGCTGCATTTTGTTGTTGTCGTTTTATTTTTAGGTTGGAGTTTCTCGGTGATGCTATTCTAGATTTTGTTGTCACTCAGCGCATCTTTAAAGATCACCCAGATATGAACCCAGGTAATTTTTGTGTCATTTTCGCGCGTTAACAATCGTGCTATTTAAGGCGTAGTCGCATGAAACTGTGCTCATGTTTCGCTGAGTAGACACACGAAGATATTTTTTGTTAAAATTATACCATTTGTAAACCTGGATGTTTTGCAAATAGCTTGTTAATTGCAGAAGCGAGACAGCACTCTGCATCGGCTCAAAACAGTCTTTCGGCTTTACAATCAATTCTATTCCCTTCAGCTGCTTCGCTTGCATTGATATCCCTCGTCGGATGAATACCAAAATGTTTGTTCGGCCTTGATGTTTAGCTGCATTACCTTGCACAACTTCGCCTTCGTAGGTATTTCCTTTCGTCTAATGTACAATCTAGCCTCTTTGAACTTGTCAATTTTTCCCTTTAAATTAGTGCATTCGTCACAGAGGTGTGTAGAGAGTAGTTCAACAGTTATGAATGGAGGCGTGTCAGCTTTCAAATTCTTAAGACGTAATGTAGTTGGACTCAGTGTGTTGGATTTTTTGCACTCGCTAAAAAAAAACAATCGGTCGAATTTAGATCGAGGCTGCTCTGTGGAACGTAGAGATACTTCCCGCTCAAAGCCTGCGATTACAATATAGATGGAAAATACTGCGTCATAGTACAACACATGTGTATTTCGATTTATAATTTTGTGATTATTTGTAAGTATTCACACATGCGTGCGACGTTGTCAAAAACTCGCTGTTTGTAAATCCAGTTCTGTTCTTTGTGTCAATTCAAGCCATGAAACTTATTGTGCCAAAAGTAGTACATTTGTTTGGTTTACGCCTCCAAACATGACCCCGTTTTCGCAATAGACTCTTTGCCAACGTGAATCGAGACGGCCTACGAACTGCATAGCAATTCTTGACCGTGTTTTCAATTATCCTAATAAATATCTTTTTAATGACCAATCAACCCTTTCACCAATCCCATTTTCATCGTGCGATTTTGATAATTTAATGGAAGAAAATCTGCCTTGTTTACGTGTTTTATTCCTGTTTTTCTACGTCATTTTTGGATGCGATTTCTTGTCGTGCATTTCCCGAAATAGTGAACTGGGAATTTAATGAAAATTCTCTTTAAGTGGCCCGGCCTGATTCATTTTCCTGCACCCTAATTGCTTCATCACTTCTACATAAGCATACGGTGCAGCGCCTAGTGGGTTACTTTCAAAATCGAAAACAGTTCACCTTCACGATCAACAGATTCCCCTAGTCTGTTCATCCAATCCTGCAAAACGCACTTGCAAAGCGACACCATCTTTGGAGAACTCTATAGTGGATTTTGTTTCCAAACACCATCTCCCTTTTTACTGTATTCAAGACAGCCCTTATAATTTTGGTAGCAGATTTTTGCAGATGGCAAGAGTAGGCACCCTCATTGCTCTTTGTTTCAGTTTATATTAACCAAGGGTCATCGAAATACCCAGTGAGTCGGTATAACCTTAATCCGAAATGCATAAATGGAAGGCCGGTTTTTTGTCATGTCATGCAAGTTGAAAAAGAGTGAGTGTTGGAATCGCAACCGATTTATTCAAGGTGCTTATTTGCTTCTTGCGCCTGCACTTGGGATAGTTACATTGAAAAGAGCTTTACCTGTGATTCAGTCAATTGCAATTTCTGTATTATGACTGAAGTGATTACCGAGGGATTACATGTTGACAACGTGACATCATTTAGTCCAACTTGCATGCACTTCGAAGATCAGCGTTTGTGTCCCGCGCATTTGAACCAAACTGACGGTATTTCCACAGCCATTACTTTCCGCATCCGTTAGCGAAATGGGCCATTCTTGGATCAAATCTTAACCGGAAGTGAAAAGATAGCGTGTATAAAATAGCCAAGTAAGAAAAAGAAACCGGAAGAATTAAGATGAAAGGGCTGAAGTGCCATGTGTCTGGTGGGGCGACTGCAAAGATAGAATTTTTACGATCTTTTGCGACTTGGCCAAACAGCAACCGAAAAAGTACTGTGGGCAGCTAACCCAACTAAATGTTGAACTTCAAGCAAAACGTGCCAATTCGGTCAATCACAAATTCTCTGCCAAATAATTTTTCTGGTAAAAAAAGCTTTGGTAGCTTTGAAAAAGTTATCTCACTACTCCCCTCGAAAATACATCACGCTGTTTCCACAAAGAAAAGATTAAAAGCACGTAGAACGTTGGGAAATATATAGGAAGTAGTGAAGAGTACATTGTAAAATACCAAATATTATACAATTTGCTGCGATTGCCCAATGCACTGCATTTCAATTAATTGTTCAGGTGCTGCCGTTTATGTCTTAATTCGAATATTTGGGACCACTGTGTTTGCTTTCTTTAGTAATGGGCTTTTTGTTTTTAATTCTAGGTCAACTAACAGACCTACGCGCTGCGTTAGTCTCAAACATTAATCTGGCAGTTGTGGCGGTTCGATTTGGTATTCACAAGTACCTTGAACAAACTGACCCCAGTCTATGGAAGGTCATTAGCAACTTTTCCGAAGTTCTGAACAATGATCCCTCCAAGCTATGGCAATTAGAGGTAAGGCACCTGGGTACAATAAAAATACAAGCACAAGCCTCTGTCTATTGGGGTATTTACGGTGAAATTCCAAAGAGCTGGGCTCCCAAGTTGTACGACTGCCCTAATAATGTTTTATACCTCGAGGAATTTCTAGTCATGGTGCGTTTGTAGATTTAAAGGTAACCCTCCTGCCACCCAGACACAGATACATGTACTCCCAGTTTATTCGTTCACACTCAAATCAACCAGGGATTGCACACACAACTGATTCAAGCCTAACCACCTGAAATCACCTCTGCGCTTCTGTGCAATTTCAATTACAAAACTTACACAGTCTTTCCAGTGACCTATTGGACCTTCAACCTAAAATGTTAAATATTTATTTGGGGGAAAATCATTAAAAGGTTGATGGCAAAATTTCAAACTCTTCGCTGTTTCTACTCGACCAAGTTAAAAAGCTCACCTACTCTGAATCAACGCTTGGCGCCTGCGCTTCCAAGAGTCCTTTCTAGGAAACAGTTTGTTTAATTTATGGAATTGCATTGGCCTCCGAAAGCTCACCCGTCATGTCACGCATTTACTCAAACCAACTTTGTAGGCGTCATTGTGATCCTGTCATTTCTTGCTTTCCGTGACAGCCTGCGCCTATTTTCGCGTGTCGCTACTCGGCACATGTGCTCATCTCTGAAACCGTTTTGTAGGACGAGTGCTACGAGAGGAATGAGTCGCTGGGTTTCAAGGTTCTTGGCGATATGGTCGAGGCCATAATTGGAGCCATTTACGTCGATTCAGGTGGTGTCACCAACGTCGTTACTAGTGTGATTTTTCACCTGTTGGAGCGTGAATTCGGCAAGTCTCGTCAATTTATTGGCTTTTAGTAATCGCCTGCAATTTGCCCCTCAAATTAATTGTGACTCCAAAAATTGTTGGGTATTGTAAAGGCCTATTCACACGCAAAACCAATATAGATGTAATTGACAGGTCTTAAGGTTAATGTGTAGCGTCCCTGCCATTCCATTAACCTGAAACCATAAATAGAGTACTTAAGCTCTAGACTTTCCTCATTCATTGTAGGTAGTTGTTTGGCGTCAAAATGCAAAATTCAAATATTTAACCTCCAGTGTCCTAAGAGCTTGGAGAACTTTTGGATTCTATTCAAATATCACTGTATTGCGCACAAGTAATCATTAATTTATCCAGCCTTTAATCTCGTTAATAAATGTCTATAGCAAATTGGGCTATGATTTCTAGAGCGCTGCTACCGTTTTTGTAATCCAATTAACCGCCATTTATTTCTCCCACGATGAGTCCCCTTTGGGCCCCATTGGCTCGCGACTAGTAGTAAGCCAAGACCATGTCATCACAAGTCTGAATAATCTAGCCATGCTATCTCCCCTCTCCTCATTTCTAAATTAATCATTCTTTCCTTACCACAAACAAATTTATTAATCAAACAATCACCACAAACCATTTGGAACGGGGTTTGTTTCCAATGATTCCATAAATACGACTTGTTGCCTTTTTTGCCAACTTATAATACTCAGCCAAACATGCGTGCAGTGAATAGTGAGAATGATCCTTTACCATTTTTTAGTTGTATATGGCAAAGATCTTCCAATTGATCCAGTCCGTACAATGCATGAGGCCTATCCAGATCTAAAGATTTCGTGAGTTCTTACGTTTATTTGCTAATTTAAAAAAAAAGATTCGTAAACTTTCTCGCCATATAGAGCTATTAGGAATGTCAGGCTTTGTAGACGCTTGGAGGACTAGCGAGACGAATAAACTCAGGGTGTGGTCTTGCAAGACTGTTGCAGAATATGTTAATTAAAAGGACTTGCCACATTAATTTCGTATGCAAGTGTCCAGATTTACTTATATTGAGATCTGATTTAAATTAGGAGTCATCGTTTTACATGTCTTGCAGTTTTCTTCCAAATTGGTACTTTATAATGAACCAGCAATACTTCGAGCCGTAGTCAGAATTTGGGTCATAAATGCAGCTAGATTAAGTAGTATTACTGTTTGGCGTCGCATGATGTTTACGGTGTTCAAATACTCCGTCTACTGAACTGTTACCTTTCTCAGTAACCCCATCTGCGAAGGTGTGCAGGCACATGCAGTAGGTTTTCGGGCGAATGTGTTTTTCATGCTTCAAATCGTCTTTGTAGGACTTGCGAGGACTTCGACTCGAATGCTTCAGGTGCTGTTCCAACTCAAATTTCTTCGTCAGGTGGAGTAGCGAAAGAGGATGCGTCTGCTCACCGACGGCCGCTGGTCAGAGCTGTGGCTACCTACAAAAATCGCAAGTTCGTTGGTGAAGGACGCAACCTCCGTGCTGCCAAACTCAGTATTGCTAAGCAATTGGGCATTGGATTCGAGTCTATTGGCGCGGATTCCTAATCGTGTTCAGAGTTGTATTATCTATTTAGAATCACCGCTACCGTTAACTCGCTTTCCTGATTGTTTATTATTCTCAAAGAACCGCCCTTATTACGCTTTGTATTGTCAAATATATTTACTTTGTTACTTGGTTACACTGTTAGTTCTAATCAACTTGGTAATTTTATCATGTAACAAAACTGATGTTCATTCAGAAAGTAGGCAATACTGACGTCGTTCGTCTACTTTCGAAATGCCGACACTTTATCGTGCGTGGTCTATACAAAGTTCTGAGGATAGGTTTGGTTTGTGCTTGCGTTGTGAACAAGTGAAAACATGTTTGCACCAATCAGATCATACAATTTCTCAGTAGATGCAGCTCACTTAGTTTTGGAATGGAGGCTAATGCAATCGAAAGTGTCAAGCTGGATTTCAATCAATTAGTACAAGTGCGTAGAACCGTGAGTTCTGCAAAGGCATGCCATCTGGCACTGCACGTCTGTTTTGCTGCCAATTCGCTCGGTTGATCCGATTGGCTGATTTACTTGGATCGTGGTTGCTAGCACTTGGCAGCTGCGAGATACACTGGTTGTATTCGGCGAAAACATAAGATTTTCGTAATGAATTATGACTCTTGAGTAACAAAAACAATGGCAAGGCGAGTGAATGATTCTGAAGCGCACGGAAGCGTGGAACCCACGCATAAACCGTATAACGCTGTCACAATTTGGGGTTATGGAAATTCACGAATTTGGTGTATGTTACAGAAATCTTTGATAATAGAGATGTTGGAAAAGATTTAACCAGAGGCCTTTGAGCAGACAATTGGATTAGAACAAGGAGAGGAGACCGTCTTGTAGTAAGCAAAATGGAAATTATCAGATTTTTGGATTTGAACTACCCGATAATGAAGTGTGTACTACTTTTTGCCATTGTGCCAACTTAAGGATTCTCTTAAGCGATGAATTCGGTCTATCTACGACGCATTCCCCTAAAGGTCATTCTGTGCTTCATAAAGACCTGAGACCTGGATTATCGAGGCTAAATTGAATGGAAAGCACGGCTGGGTTGGAGAATGGTGGCTTACGTGACTCAACGCAAAGCCGTTAACTTTTAATTTCTCAAATTAACGCGAGCCTTTTTAATCAACCTAAATTTTAGAGATGACGTCCAAATAATTATTATGTCGGGCAAAGAAGTTATGGCTACTCTTTCAACAAAATGTCCCCTGAAATGTCGAAGGGATATTTTGTTCGTCTATGTTACTATGATCCTTGATGACTGACGCTGTCTTATCTACTGTTACACAAACTCATTACCAGCTGTTGCAATAAGCAAGTGGCCATTTGCTTATATTTTGTAAAGTTCACACAGCCTTAAGTGTTTAGCAATGTTAAATTTCAAATTTATTTTAAAGACTCACAAACGAATGTCATCTTTAATTTTCTGAGCTGCAATAAAATAATCTGCTAATTCCTCCTCTAATGCCACATGACTTATTTGAATATTTGTACTAGTAAATGCGTATATTCAGTGTGCTAAGTTGGGATTTAAGAAATAAAACATCATCAGTGACATTTTGGAGTGATACATAAGCCACCTGACCATATATACATAATCTAAATCGTAAATAAAGCGTATAAATAAGAACTTGTACTATAAGTGGATTAAGCGTTGACACATGTGTTATACATAAAAGATGGCATGACATTGTATTATTTGGTGACATTATTAGTTTCGGTCATTAATGTCGAATTATTGAATTTATTAGAATACTTCAAATAATTTAACCAATGTAAAAATCTAGACAGCTAAACATCAGAATGTCCTAGTTCGAAAAAATACTAAATTACAATTATGAATATAAAGGCCAGTCCAAGAAATTCTAATTTCTTTAAAAAAGGTTACAAATTATTATAAGTTGTCCAGAAGACAAACGTTCTTTGGTTTTGTTATACGTGTTTTAGATTTAACTAATTATGGCGTGAGCAGTTAAGGGAGAATTGCACGGACCGTACTCCAGTCATACGCAACTTATTTCTTACATAATTACAGTGAAGTATATCTGTTATTCTTGAAGCCATGGTACTGAATATAAACATTTTCTCGAAGCATTAATGGAAATTCATGAAAAATTATACCGTTTATCAAATCGACCATTGCGACAAGATTGTGGCTTAAATTATGTAATCTAATATTAGTGACATAGTTACTTGATGCTTAGACGTTCAAAAAGGGAAAGCATAATAATTAAGTCATGTTTGCTTATAATGAATTTCTGCTTGGAGTTAATTTTTAGGGTAGTGTGCTTGAACATATCTCTAAATTAAACACTTCCCTCAGATGAATTTGACAAAATGGAAGATACCGAATTAAATTAATACAATATTACATTGGCTGAAAATCATTTAGCCTGTTTATTTACAATTTTGTTAAGTGGCGTGTGAGATGTGGAATTCATTCGTACCGCTTGTTTTATGCATCGTTCACTAAACGCGCGAGATTGTAGTTGTTTGGGTCTTTCTGCTATGTCTGGGAGTCGGCGGGTGCTATCGCTATATAGGGAGATGCTTCGCGCCAGCAAAAACTTCTCCGATTACAATTTTAGAACATATTTTGTTCGTCGTGTTAAGGAAGAGTTCAGAAAACATGAACATATTACGTCTGGAGAAGATCTGGAAAACTTTTTAGCCGAGGGACAGAAAACACTTGGTATCCTTCAAAGGCAGTCTGAGTTGAGTCGTTCGTTCAAAGGTCTAAAGTTAACAATTGAGTAGCTCTTTGCCTTGTAAATATATTTGATTTTTAAGATATCTCTTTATTGCTTAGAGGTAATGTAGCAAAGTTGTTATAATGCTGAGAGGGCATTCCGGAATAACATTCGTGCTCATGGAACTCACTGCAAATCTGATTTAATGTCTAGATTAGCATACATTGGCAGGGAGTGGAATTTAAATCAATTTTTAATGCCGAATCGGATTCAGGTGGAATATTGTTGAAGTAACAGTCCCTGTATTTTTTTAATTAAGCCAATATGGACCTTTGGTTTCAAAACATGTGAAAGCACAAGTTGAACATAGTTTTAACATTGAAGTAGTAGATATTGGATTGAGTACTGAGTAAACGTCGTATTTGTACGTCACAAAAACCACTTCGTCTGGTTAGTCATTTCCCCTCTTGGTTTTTTTTAATTGAATGTTTTCAAAATAGGTGTGCATCAACAGCCAAATCTCTACTTTAAATGCGTTTGCCACAAATGCTACCTAGAACACATTTTTAAATGAATTGCGTTTTGCTGTTTATGCTTGACATTGACTGTTCACGGCTTTCTTTGGAAATTAATAAGATTTCTTTTACCGGATGTTATAACCGTGATTCCAACATGTTTTCAGTAAGTTAGACGATCAGGTTTGGTCTTGTTAAATGTTCTTTATGGGTAGGTCAAAATAATTTTCTGCGGAGCTCAATCGCGTCAACTTGACACAATTAAGCTATCGCTGGTACTTTAATTCATCCGCACGTTTATTAGTTTCTTTTTTGTGAGTATTTACAGTCATCGTCATAGGTGGCATAAGTTCACCAACAGCCTAAGCCTTCAGCTTCTGTGTAATCTTGTAGGTGAATCTGTAGATCTGAGACTTGTGTATGTGCAATATTTGGTACTTCAGAAGTCGTGCTTCTGATTGGGTGGTGCCTTCGTAATTTAGAGAGGAGGAGAGCTGCTGGTAACCAGCTAGCCTTCATGAGACGGGCTCAGGATATCAAGGGTTGTTGAGTTTGACCATTGATTCTGATGCCAGTCGTAGGTGAAATTTGTACGCCAGAACGACCCGAAACAGGTGTGGTGAGGAAAAGTCAAATGGGTCTGTAAGTTCTTGACACCACTTTGGTCATGCTGCGTTAAACAACTGAAATATGTGTCTTGTGCATTGACATTGGATATTTGTGTGGGAGCATGCTGCAATCAACCTAAAGTGGCTAGTGCTTTGACTAGTGAATAGGCCGTCAACTAAGGCGTAGTGGGCTGGTTCAAGTGGCTGCTGGTATGGTTCTACCTCGAGGATGATGGCGGTTGTTTATGCTATTCGTAAACGACGGGTTCGAAAAGAAGTGTTTCGAGGTGGAGAAGTGTGATGCACACTCCGCAGTTTTTCGCATCGAGACACTTAGTGCTTCGTCTAGACAGTCTGATGTGTGTTGTGGTGATGTTGAATTGGGGCTTATTTTGCCTTCGATTGGATAGCGCTTGTAAATGAGTGTTGTATATGAACGCTTGCATGTTATTTTATCGATTTTGTTGCATGGCGCAGAGTGAAAGCGTGCCATACACAAGCATTGCAATTGAGACCCATGAAATCGACAACTTCGTGTTGGCCATTTCATCGAACAACTCAAAGGAGCCACAATTGGCCAGTAACAAATCACGGACGTATCCTGAACCACCACCCGAAACACCAGGCAGGTTTCGGTACTCCCTGTTCGTAATAACCACGTATGTGGGATTGGGGAACTGTGCATTTTTTTGTTGTTTGCCTCTGCTGGCATTCGAGAACATATTTCGCGCGATGGGATACGTTCCGCCCTTTTCATTTCTGTGTGCAGGGCTCCACGTGCCAATAGCGACCTGTTGCCTGTGTCCCTGTGTGCTGTGCAAGGTGAGGCGGATGTTTAGGAAGAAGAGGAAGATTGGCGGCAACGCACTTGTGGACTGCGTTCTTTCATGTGGTCTCTGTTTTTGTGTTGCTACACAGCTGTTGACGGAAGCGCGCGCCGTCCTCCTGGATAGGAGAGCAGGGCAGTCGAATGACTAAATTTTGGACATCTGGGGTAATTTAGACTTTGGTTTATTGACTTCCACTTGTGATTGCGTTGAAGCTGAAAAGGAATGTTATCATTGAGTGAATTGCAAGCCAGTGTTGACTAATTTAGAAAGATGATGCTTTTTGTTGAGGTGGCGTTCGTCTGAGTTGTGAGATTATATCGGGTGTCGAATTGCTGTCTTGGTGAGATGACAGATGTTC